TTAACTTTGGTCTTAGTTGTAATGAGCGCTCAGTAACACTTACTGGGTTCCTACTGGCTATTATCTTTCTATCTCTTTCTCTTTCCACACTTGTTTCTGTACTTTATCGTCGTTAGAAAAGAAGCAATAAAATGAATGATTTCTTTCGAAAACTTACTCATAACACTGATATCGGTTGAATATAAGTTTTCAAAATTCTTAAAGAATGCATTGCCTAGGAGCTTGTAACGCTTCGTTCTAAAGAATAGATGGCGGAGTACAGATAGCAACCTGATCGCACACAAATTCTAGTAAGTTTTTCATGTATCGTTGTGCAGTCATGCGTCGTGGTTAAGATGATAGCAGTTTTTATGGATGCCATTGCTAAGCTTAAATCCGGTGTGGAAAGAGTCTCAAAGCTTTTATATATATATATATTTTCTTAGATTCACTGATGATAAATTTTTTTTTTTTATTAGGTGATTACAGTACGCTTGGCCCTGTACGTATTTTGTGGAGAAATCTCAATGTGAGCTAATTCCTCTGCCTTGTAGTTGTCGGAGGTGTTGTAATCTTATCTGGTCCAGTCCCGATTCATTTTATACAGAAACTTTGAACTGTTTCTTTTCAATAAATTCCTTAGGGATAGCTGAATGAGTGCCTCTTCTCTCTGTTCAAAACTCGTTGCAGATTGGCGTTTTTAGTTCGACAGTCGTTGTCGCTCTCTGTTAGATAAGTAAAGTAAAAGTTGAAGACGCCGAAAATTAGCGCAGATTTACTTTTGAATATTTGGTAAAGTGAAAATAAACGGGACAGCTAAAGCCTCATTTATTTTATTATTTAATTTTTTTTTTTTCTATTTTTGTTTTTTTTTTTTTTTTAAGTAGACGAGGAATAGAGAAAATGTGGAATTTTTTTTTTTTTTTATCCTGCAGATTTAGATGTTAACCTTGAAGAAAAGTTTCCCTTAACAATTTCTTTTACGTTTATGTAATAAATTTATATAAAATGCTTAGCCTTAGTCTATAACTGGTTTTAACCACTTATGTACACTTTCCTCGGATTTAATTTAGTGTACAAGAAAATTACGTCTGCGTACCAAAACCCAAAATGAAAACAAAAAAAAAAAAAAAACAAAAAATATTTTGAAAAAGTTTATTAACCCTCCTTAATAATTTCTTCCACTACATAAATCAATTTTATTTGACCGCTACTAACTGTTTGACCAATGAATGTACATACAAATGTACGCGTTTACGTATTGTGCATAGATTAGAGGGAATAAAAGAAACTATATGATGATGAAACTCAACCCCAAAGTTTTTATGCTCGTTTTAACGGGAAAAATGTGCTTTTATTGTTTGTTTTTATCGAATTCCATTGAAAAACGAAAAAAAATTGAAAGAGAGACTCGGAGAAAAATAAATAAAAAACACAAAAAAAAAAAAAATTGTATGTATGTACAAGTATGTCGACAAGTTCGTATAAACAATTGGATTCCCGTGAGGCGGTAATTGGAAAATAAACTCTTAATAATAGCTGTGTGCCGTATGACCATCAAATGATTAGTACGTAGTCTCCGTGGCGTGTGGCTGACCTTTGAACTCATTTATACGTGCACAAAAGCTTGCCTTTCAACAACGCAACTTAATAAACGACTTTGTCTATCAGTTGCAATAAGAGAAAGAGAGAGAGAGAGAGGGAGACGCAGAGGGAGAGAGCTAGGATATTATTAATATTTAATCATAAACATGTATTTACGTACGCTGTATGACTATTAGCTAAAAAATATTAGAATTGAGTACAAATTTCAGAATATTATGTTAGAATAGAGCGAATTCGAAACAGATAAAAACTAAAGCTGTTTGATTTTGAAGTTTCAGCTCTTAATGCGAACAAAGGCGAACAGTTTGAATAATTTCGTGCTCAAAAAGTCTTAATAAAGCAATTTGTTGGTCACACAATCGCCTCATTTACTTACTTCCAACGTGTCGGTGCGGGCGTCATAGTTGAAGGTCACCGTACAAATACCGGATTAATAGTGGTAGTTCTTCATTGTCCTTTTGACGTAAGGGTCAGCGAATGAATTTTACAAAACGTTGTTGAAAATAGATCCAGACCTTGACAAGGCACGGCATTCTAGACACCGCTAAGTGTCTTCTGGTCACAAATGCTGATGATGGAAAATGTAAAGCATAATGTAAGAATTGCAAAGACAAGCTTAGATCGACTCAGAATCATTTTTATCACTTCATTCGATCGGTATATATTGAATATAAAAAAAAACAAACAAAGAAAATGAGTGCCTACCTGATGTCCTCCTAAATATTATGTATGCCTTAGGGTATAAATAATAAGGTTTCTTGATAACTTTTTTGTTAGAATGCAAGCAAAGGCAATCGAGTTTAAATTAATTAAAAAAAAAAAACTCTGTTAGGGAAGAAATCAAGAGACAAGACATTAAGCTGCCATTTGCCAGCTAAGTTTAATTTGACCCAGCCACTCTTGCCATTGCGTTCGGGCAAGGCTTGAAATTTTAACGAAATGTGCAATTGGTTTGGTTTTGTCATATTCTACGAGGTTCAAACCAATTTGAAACAACGTTAGGCTGTAGGCTGAAAAGCTCCCAGAGAATACCTTTAAATGGGCATAAATAAGCTCGGTAGACATATCTGTTAGTGTATTAGAGAAGTTGGCAATCAAAAACTAAGACATTCGGTTGTACCTTCCCAGCAGTTATTAATTTGATGTAAGCCCTTTGAGAAAAACCGATTATTTCTAGGAAAAGATTGCTTTCAATTAATAAACTTTTTCCCCCGTTATTTGAAAAGCTTAAAGCATCTATTAAGCCAACAAAAAAAAAAGAAGAAATTTGAGGTTTTTTTTGAAAACTAATAAGTGGTTTTCCCTACGCTATAGTCATTACCAATTTTTGTAAAGGGACTATTCGCTTGCTATGAAAGTACTGGAATGGTTACGCAATGCCTTCGAAGACTCTGCTGCACAAACAGAGAAACCATATGAATGCTATGAAGATTGGTAAGTGTGCAGTTCGGCATACTTCTGAACAACATAGAAAATGTCGATGAGTTCAAGAAAATCTAACTCCTAATTTTTTTTGTTGTTTTTTTTATGGCCAGTCACTCAGTAGATGTACATTGTACGTGCGGACATGGTGGTGGTTAGGAAAGGTGATGGGAAGAGCGGGACGGAGAGAGGCAGCAGTGTTTGTGAATGGTTTTCTTGAAAATACTCTTTTTCCGCATAAGTAGCCCAGTGGGGAAGGGTTGTGAGTCCACTGAGTCGGAGTTCGCGGTTTCAAATCTCAATGCGGCAAAGCTTACTTTGGTCGTAGTTATAGTGAGTGCTCAGTTGGTAAAAGAATAACACGTACCGATCGTGCACACAATCACTAGGCTACGGCCGCTTCCCTATCTCTTTCTTTCTTTCTTTCTGGGCGTGACCATATTGTTTCCAATTTGTATGAGAAGTAGAGAGATTTTGAATAAACTTTTCACTTTTTACGGATCGGCGTTATATATATATATATATATATATATGTATTTGTTTGATAGATTAATCGATGCACTGTTTAAATGAAATGATTTCGATTGAATGGAGAAAAAACGTTGAGGAGAAATATTTACCGATTTACCTTAAAATAATTCCTAACTACGAATGGTAATGTATGCGTTAGTCAACAATCTTTTGAATAGCGCACGGGAAATGGGTTCGAAAGCTCAAAAAATTGCAAATAACTCGGAAATCGAAAGAAATAGTACCGCTACTGTAAAGAGACTTATTCTTTTGGTACTTGTGGGCTTTCTGTTTTTACTATCTTTGATACTCGCAATGCGTGTGAAGACGTACTCACCACTTATCTTCTTACTGGAGAGTCCCAATAGAATGCGATTAGTTCTCAAGTAAAAGATTGATTATTGATTACAATTTCTATTGACTTCGCATGGAAGTATTGAAGTATGCATCCTGGCTTTTGCGATTTGGTTAACGGATTTCCTTTTTTCCCACGAAGAACTTAACCTGCATTTCTTAGCGAATCGGATTCAATTTCTATTTATCTTTTACATTGAATGTAAATATTCATATTGCAAAAGTTAGCGAAAAGAGATTAGAAATTTAGGCTCCATCATGAGAGAATAGGTATAAAGTAATTCTTTTAATCCTTCCCTATCAGAATAAACTAACTTCCGTAATCCTTCTAGAATATATAGATATATATATATATATATATATATAGATGGTTTTGATTGAAAGTTGGCATAATTCGCCTCCAATAGTTGCGGTAGCGGAACGATCTCGAAAACAATTAAAAAAAAAATACACAGATATTAAAAGATAACAGAATCAAAGATAATAAGATAAAAGATTGATAAAAATAACGTGACTTATTTAACAGGATTAATGCGAATCATTTCAAAAGTGACGGATATTGTCGCTTAATTGACACAATTGCACTTAAGGGAAAACAGGTTCAGGGCGCTTAGTATAACAAATTTGCTTAAAGGCGAAATGCTTTTATTATTATTTTGCTTCTTTTTTTTTCTTTGTTTGGCAGAAATGAAAACGAGTTTATACATTTTGATCTAATTTATATGTTGAGTGATGTATACAATATATGTAAGATTAGGCATTTGCCAGTTCCGCATATTTTGATTTTTATTGCATTTGTTGCACACAACAATAACAATAAACGTATTGAAGTGAGATGTTCAACCAAAGGTTTGCCATAATATTTTAAAATTTAAAATCACTATGAGATGAAACTTTTTTTTTTTTGTTTTGTTTTTGTTTTCTTTTTTTTAAATATGCTTTGACCAGATCAATTAATTTTGCTAAAATATTACTAATTTGCATTTATTAAAGAGCTCTTATGATTTGGTTTTGTGTTATTAGTTTATTTTTTTATTTTTTTATTTTTTTATTTTTTTTTAAAATTTTGGCCGCAATAATCGATAGGCAAAGTATATAAAAAGCGGACAAACGTTTTTTAAAAGCATCAGTTTGCAATCACATTCGCATTAGTAAACAAATAGTTCATACGTTAATTGAAAATGAAATCGATTATTGTTTTTGTTGCGATATTCGCTATTGCCATTGGTGCTCCTCAACATCATCACGATTATCATGATTACGAGCACGCTGAAATTGTTCGTTACGAGTCTGATGTTCGTCCCGATGGTTATAAATTTGGCTTTGAAACTTCGGACGGTACCAAGCACGACGCTGAAGGTCAATTGAAAAATATTGAGAAAGATCACGATGCCCTCGTTGTTCACGGCAGTTACTCATTCGTTGATAAAGAAGGCCATCACTTCACTGTCAACTATGTTGCTGATGAATACGGTTATCAAGCCGAGGGCAGTCACATACCTCATGCTTAACCTTTCTTTTGTTTATCTATAATATTATTGTTTATTTATATATATGTACGGTAAATATGATAAAATTTCGCTTATTAAAAATATATAAAAAATATGTGTAAAAGAGTGTTTGTTATTTATCCGTGCATTTGTCCAAACGGAACGTTTTAATTGGTGTACATTCACTCCCTTGTCTCGGATGCAAAAAACCATACAAGTAAAAGAATTATAGGCTGGCCAAGCCCATCATTTAATCCCCTTAACCACATCATCTAATTATTTTTGTGATAAAGTATCCACACGCGTTTCATGTGAGCCTTGATATGTGAAGGGATCCAAAACGAGAACAGATATGATTCAAATCGATATTATTCTTCGCCTAGACATATGTTCACGTCAATTTAGTGCGCTTAGCGACTTTTATCGGGAAATTTTGATAGTTGTATTATGCTTCTAAATAAAGCATTTTACGTGAGCGGTCGTAAAAACTATGTGGCCCTATCCATCTTCATTGGAGCTTGCCCTCGTGTCAAACTTCATTTAAATTACTTTGAAATGTTTCGAAAACTGCGATCAATCGATTAAATGCAAAAGTATATGGTAAAAAATAGACGGACAGACAGACATGCTTAAAATGATCCAGAAAAGAATTCTAAATCGAATCTGTCTTCCAGTCCTTCTGGTTGTTACATACATTCGCATAAACTAAATACATAGTGTACCACAAGGAGAGTAAGGTATAAATGTAATACGCTGATATGCTTCATTGTCATCGTTATCACTGTTTGCCTTCTTTGTTGCATGTTCATTTCAAAAAGAGTTTTTACAATATAGTTAGTTCATAACAATACGAAAGCACGTGTTATTCAAAGCATCTTCATTGCTAGCATATTCAAAAATTGGGCCATTGCTGCATGTTCCAAAAAAAAAAAAAAAAAAGGAAAGGGAGTTTGCGTCAGTTGGGAAAAACAGCGCAATACCTTGAAAGCAGGAGAGTGTGGAACGATTTGCTTTTCAATAATACTCCGTTGATTAGCTTACCAACGTAAAACCGAATATTCAGATCACATTCACGTTTTATTCTGTCCTTCGTTTTGGAGCTTGCGTCAAGAATAAAGAACTATAATCGTTTTATAATGAAACGCAGCGAAGGCCCGGAAACGAAAATATCAAAAAAAAAAAAAATCCTTCAAATTATTCTCGATAGTCGACAAGTGAAATCGATTCGAATCGGCAGTCTGGCAACTTGAAAATTTTGCATTGAGGATTGATTAAGTTTTGAAACTGTTTTCTAAATGCATGTCGCGGCTTCTCATAGAAGAGCAAAAACAACAAGGGAACACGGTTTTGAATTATTTAACGATAACATATTGTTTCGTTCAACACTCTGCTGAGAGTGTATATAAACAAAATAAATGGTTAGATATCCTTCCGTTGGCTTGCCTATCGTTATTTGAAGTCCAAATCTCGAACAAATTAAAGTAGAAAATTGAATCTGTTCCGCCTCCCCACCACTATACGCGCGATTCAAATAAAATGTAAAGGCATATTGGATGACGTGGAACTGACTGTAAAACGCACACAGCTTAGGATCGGTTTTGAGAACTATTAAACCATAAACTGTAGGTTATACCCGGAAGGCAGACTTATTCCACTTACTAACTCCTCTTGGACTTGGTAACGTATTTTGATTTTTGCCAATAAATATTCCGAGCATGGCCAAAGATTCAGTTGCGATGTTGCTGGTTATGCTTGTCGGCTACACAAACTCCTCTTATTATGTGTTTGAAGTTTACAGCAACTATTACGGTTTCAGAAGTGAGGCGCAGCGCGAAGAACATATTATGTTATTTAGATTGCTTTCAGCTTTCGGGAGCTTTAAGCGAATGCTTACTTTCAAAATCGAGTTTCTAGAAATTGTGGCGAAATCTGTGATTGACATTATAACATACGCATGGGCAGACGCTATTTATTGTAGTAAAGCTTCCCGCTTTCGCGCACAGCGGAATGCTTGTAAACAAACAATTCCAAGTACACATAGGATTTCTCTAAAATAATCGGTCGCGAACTGGTCAGCTAATCAAAAATTACAAAATTTATATTTATGGTGGCAAATAAAAGAAACACCTTTACAAGCACAATACAAACTCCTCGCTACGTTTTCTTTTTAGCCTTTATCTAATCATTTTAAATTATAATTATTGTTTTTTGTAACCTAAGGTTGGCTAAAATTTCATACCTAAATGTAAATCTACTTAATTTAACTGTAATTTATTAATGTTTTGTTTTACTTCTTTTTTTTGTTTTTTTCCTTATCTATCACAATTTATACGCTGAGTTAATTTCTTAGCCAAGTTCAAAATATTTGTTCACATGAACGTTGCCTTTCATCGAATACTTTGCTAAACGCTGCTGTAAAATCAAAAAAAAGGAAAAAATTTAATTTTAGTATTTAGACTTTCATCAGTTCCGCGTATATTTGTAACTTTTCTTTTTACTGTGCATTCAGGTAAATACTTTATTGTTAAAAACAAAAAAAAAAAAAGAAATAATAAAATTAATATACGCCTTTAGTAGTGGGCATAAAAGTTACTTCTTTTTTATTCACATACATATATAAATAATTTATATATACATGTGTGCGAACACTGATATATGCAGAAAGAAAGAATTTATAGTCAGTTAATATCGAACTCTCGCAACCCATCGCGATCATCGTTCATCATCCTTAATGTTGTACGAATCCTATAGTAAATATATGCTGTCCGTTACCGAAAAATCGCAAGCAGATACGGTATGTTAAGTTACGACATACGTATGTATACGCAAATGCAGTCATCGTGGCAATAATGTAAAGGTTTTGGTAAAGGCATAATAGAGGTATGGGTGATAAATATTTTTAGTAATTCTATTATGGTCTATGGACGAGATTGTAAGCGAATGTTTCTCTTGATAAAAGTAAATCGAAAAAAAAAAAAAAAAAATTAAATCAAAGTTGATTTTTTAGAAAAAGTTTCTAAGGTCACAATCGTCTGAGGATTAGCTGATTTTGACATTAAGGCGACTAGGATGCGAGTGCAAGCACGTAAGATAAACTAAGCATACCGATTATGTGGTGGATATGAAAAAGCGAAATAACAAAAGTAGCTAAACAAAACTCTCAAGTCTAGAAGTATGCACTTGCTTTCTACGTTCATTCGTTTTAATGCCACTCGTCATATGAACTCATTAGGGACGCTGGCATTAATTAAAACTTTTACGTTGAGAAAGATGACAAGAATTCTACTCAACTCAAAACTCATGCCTCAAACTTTTGTCTGATAACGATAATGAATGAAACAACTCTTTGCTACTTCATATGTGCATTTCACATATATTTATATCCATGTATATAAATATATATATATATATATATATATATATGTGCATGTTGATATCAGTGCGATGAGGTAGACATTTGCATAAAGGCGATCCTTGCGAAATACACAAGTGATTACAAAGTCCGCAACTAATGCGGCGAAATGGATTATAAACTGAATACGCTTGTGAACATTTAAAAAATTATTTCGGCCTGTCGGTCTTCGGCGGACTTCCGAAAGCAATACGCTAGTACAATTTAAGGGTCTATCTTATGAGGTGAATGACTGTGTTGAGCATAGGGATATATTGCAGTGCGTGTGTGAGTTCAAGTTTTATAGTAACATCTCTAATATTGTCTGACAAGCATACAAACATTTGAAACATGTACATATATATATATATATATATATATATATATATATATATATATAAATAAAATTTATATTTAATAAAAAGTATTCTCTTGTGATTATATATAAATATATATGTATATATACATATACATCTGCGATAGATATCAAAAGATATGAAATGGAAATTCCTACCTACTTTCCCTTTACTAAATCGATCCATTGTCGGTAATATCGAGATATTGAGTTGCTCTAGGAATTTAAGTTTGCTTTGCGACTGTGGTATATATAACTGATTTAATTTCAGCACATTATTGGACGACTTACGCGGTTAGAATCAACTGATAATTGATTTTTAAACCCATTAAGAATGCGTCACGTGCTCCTTAAAACAAAGCTAATATTTCTGTAAGTTGACTAAGCGATATGAAAAATATGTTTTATTTATAACTTATTGAGGAGTGCTACCAAGCCACTCGCAATCACTTTTACTTCCAAATTTATAGCATATATTTACAAATAAATATTGTAAGTAAAACTTTAGAAATTCATATATTATATAAGTGTAAAAGCAACAACATTGTGCTATTTGTACTGTTGCTTGGGATTTTATGCCTATGTGTATTCTTACTAGATCTTGCAAAGGGTATACACTTCGATGTAAATATATTTGGTTTTTTTTTTTTTCATTTTCTATCGCGGCAGAGTTAAGCAAACATTCTATATGGATGCAGTTTGATAACTGATTCTGACTTACGCTTCTATATCTAAACGAATTTATCTATAAGAGATTTCGAAATTGCAAAAATTTTGAGTCAATGTAAGCCCATTGAGCACTGTAACCATTATTTCAGGACCTATGTTGCAAATGATCCCGTCCTGCTGAATCAATGTCCACAATGTCTACAGCATCAATTTCAGGTTAAGAGAGGTCAGTTAATATGGTTCGGTAGTGTAGCCATTCGCTGTAAAAGCTGTAAAGCGATCGAAACAGGAACACTGTCCGAAAAGTATGGTCAGACCAAACACTGCAATGATTCGTTGCACACGTTACTTGAAGAATTGGTTCAACTTGACTTTTCGGAGTCACAAAAACGACGGTTTTGTTTATTCATGCTCCCATGTAGGTAGTAATGAGTGTAATGGATGAATTTTCAAAAATGGTCTATTTTACAAGGGAAATAACAATGTTTTACTGCCACCGAATTTCGTTTTAATCAGTTTCAAAATTATTTGAGTTTCCTGGGACATGATAAATTCAAAACCATGCATTTGAAAGAGATTTTTGTGTTCAAATTTCAGGCATTTCCGCAAA